TGGCTAGGTCCCCCAGCAATTGGTGCCCTTTTACCGTTTCTTTTTTGGTTGGGGGGGTTCCCCTACTAAAATAGACTACAGAAAAAAGGGTACCCTTATTCTAACCTCTCTACTGGAGGACCTAAGGGACTGGGCCGAGGTTGTGGGATCAAGAGGTTTATCTCAATTTGTGTGATGCCCTTTTTATATGGGCGGTCTTTGGGGTTACGCCTTTTTGTTTGTGTCAGAGAAGTGGTCATTTCCCACAGCCTGAGACAGTCTGTTTGTCGGGAAGTTGCAAATATACCAAGCAGGTATCACCTTCCGGTTGCCAATTTGAAGTGAGTGTTTTTTGTGGGGGGTGCCTTTAAGTTGAAACCTTGAAGAACAAGGCAGCCCCCAAGAGGTTTTCCACCTCCAGTTGTGGATTCCCGTTGGTGCACATACATGTATTCGCAGGCTTGTTGTTTACTGTTTAGTTGGAGAGGGCATGACAACAATTCTTGCATTTGCCCCCCTGGTTTCCCCTGTAGAGAGCGGGGAACTACCTGGAATGACGTCAAGTCATATTGTTTGTACTAAATATGGCGACTTCACAAGGAGTTGCGACCTTACCCTAGATAAAGGTTCCTTCCGTGGGCATATATTGGTTGGTCAATTCTCAGAATTCATCAATACGTGAGGATTGTTCAAACAACGCGGCACCCCTTTCAAAAGGAAACTCAAAGGCATATCCATTTGGCTTGAAATTGGAACCCTTTCTGCTCCCTAAAGCATGTATGGAAAGCAATGTGCGAGGGGATCAGCTAGGCAGGTGCTCCCAGGGAGACCATTTGTGAACATCAAGATGACGGACCAGCACAACGTACGTGCAGGTGAGACGTGTCTCCAGATCAGGTCTGGCAAAGAGCTGAATGCTGCACCGGACAAGCCCTATAGGGTGCGGGGCCTGGCAGCCGGCGGCTGCGTGGAGGGGGATAGGGCAGCACAATACCAGGTGGTTCCGGCCATGTTGGCTTAGCTCTGAGACCCTTCCTGGTGCCCTCAACCGGCCCAATGTCGCAGGCAGTTTGGAGTCCTTTGTTTGCGCAGCCCATGTGTGAATGGATCTTGCCGATGTATGCAACACTGCTTCCATATATTGGCAGCGCTAGGTCAGTACCACAACCTTTTGGATGGTGCGCCGCTGCATTTTGTTGGCTGTTGGGTTCTTTCGGAGAAGCCTTTGTGTGTGAGGCCCACGCAAGCTTGGACTGAAACGATCTGGCATTCCCTTCATCTGGATTGCCGGGTAGTTGGTTAATCCGCCTCTCACCTTCACCGTCGTGCAGATCAGAGGGCTCACAAAGCGACAACTGCTTGAGCACGCGCTGCGCGAGGATGACGCAGAACGGTGTCCGGGCTGATGACGCGCACCTTGTTCAGGGCATTCCAGTGTGGCTGAGCGGCTACGGTCAATTTTGCGTGCGGTGCTTCAGCGCCCTGTAACCAACACGGCTGTAGTGAACACTTGGCTCGCACAGTTGGAGTGCAGCTTGGCGCCTTGTCACGCACGCAAGTAATCCGTGAGCATTAGATTTCCTAGTTATCAATTAGTATAATGCCTAACTGGCCGGGGTAGTCGCAGGATGAAGCGCCCAAATGAGAACACAAACTGTTTTGCAGTTGCTTCTGCGGGGAAGTACTGCAAGATTGCATGTGAGCAGTTTTCTATAGCTCACCCGGGAGGCTTTATTCGGGGCTTATTTGAGGCTTGGTTCAAGGGATTGCGTCCTGTTCGTTTGTTTTGCCAAAGAAAAAAGGGGTCCACCAAGACGTCCCCCGATTTGCATGCCTAGTCTGCCGGCCGCGGTGGTGCCCTGCCTTTTGGGCTTCAAAACCTTCGCCAACCTTGTCCTGGCCTTGAGCTGCACTTGCGCCTGGGGCCGAACTACAGGTAACCCTTTCTCTTCTCCTCAACCACCAAAACACCAATCAAAATCACTAGTTGGGGGGAAACCGGGGACTCAGCGCCAAACAAAACATATGCAAATCGATTGGACCACTTCCCACTTCGATCTTTAACCTGGGTTTTGATGACAATGTCTTGAGGATGTGAGAAGGGGTTCGGTATGTTGCGTTTCTTTGCTTCAACCAAATGGGTTTCGCGCCTTTGAAATGAAGAATGGCTCGGGGGCTCGGTGGTGCCACCGCCTTGTTCAAACCATGGCTGAAACCACTGTTGTTCAAACAACATGCTGATGTTCCCTTCAAAAGAGCCTCGGGTCAAGTTTTATGTTAATCACTGAATCGAGGGTAACCACTACCCTAGGGCCATCACCACCCCAAATGTTTTTTTTTCTGAAATGTCTTCGCGGATACTCTAGCCGACTGACTGAGTGGGTGGAACAAGCATCTTGCTCTCAGAAAGGGGAGTGCCCTTCTCCAAGCTGGGGCTTCAATTGTTGAACGATTCAACTCTCGGGGCACCTGGTTGAGCACCAGACCGTCTCAGGCTGGCTTCCGTTGTCGCACGCCTGAGGCGGTGTTTGGATGAACCTACTGCTTCCAGCGCTGGTGCTGATCTACTGCAAGATTGTCCCCAGCCGTCAGAAGCAGGAACCTCACAAAGGCGATTAGCCCGTTTCGCCTGGCTCGATTTGCGGACATTTCGACTGGTTTGGTTTGTGCGTTGGTTGCGCTGCACCCCATTCTGCCACGATGATCCAGGTGGGTGTTGATTTTAGTGGCCATGCTCATGACTCGGCTGCGCCTGAAATTGAGATTCCAGAATCCCATCATCCGGTTGCAATCAGCCAATGCGATGGCGGTGCCGAGCTTAGGGCGAGTTGAAGAATCTTTCTGGGCATGGCCCATTTGACGCTGACTGCGGGAAACAACAAAAGGTGTTTTGTTCTGTAGGTCTCCCCTCAAACCAACCTAAAGTGAGTAGTTGTGTTTAGAAAGAGGGCCGAATTGCCCACCTGTTCCTAGTTGCCCCCCCTTGTTCCTCTTTTGGGGGCAGATCGATGGCGCATCCAGCCGCCCTCTCTGCGCACTGGGTCCCTTTCCGAGAAAGCCATCCCTCTCAGAACGGCGGACTTTGGATCATGCGACTTGCAAGAGGAGATTGAGCTCTGAATCTTCAACACAAGCACCAAAATTCAGCCATGGAACAAAAACACAACACAACTACTCCAGTCGAGGCTTGCCGTGGTATCGTTTTGGTTTGCGTTCTTTGAGCCTCGACAGGTGAGTTGTGATGCTCAACAACCAATTGGACAACTAGTTTTACTTGGCGTGATGTTAAGCGGAAGTAGTTAAGTGGAACTATGCAGGGAATGTGTGTGCAATGCGGATTAGAGCGGGTGGCGGTTTTCCCGGCAAACAGTTCAAAAGTCAGTCGTCACCTTCACACTGCGTTAGATTGGAGGAAGTGCAGCCTCAGACATGAAAACGCAACCCTCCAACCTACTTGGCTTCACTCGCCTGGCCAAAGCTATGCAAAAGGCTGTCTCGACTTTGAGAGGATCCTCAAAAAACACAAGCCATGGCACCCGCGCATGGGTTTCCCTTCCCAAAAGGGTGTCCCGTTTTTCCCTGGCCAC